GGTAGTAGCTCATATTTACTAAGCAGTTTGGGCTCTGTTTGGTCCGACCGTAACCAAATATAATATTCACGGCTTTTTTTCTTATTAAAAGTAATTTGTTCAGATGAGGCGTAAAATTTTGTTACTTACGTATTACTTCTTGTGTGTTTTTTAAAAGATTGTAAAAGTTTAAATTGACTGTAAAGATAGACTAACTGTAATGTTATCTATTGAAAAATCAATGGTGCGACAAATACCAAACTACTAGCAAAGTAATTGAAAAGTTTATTTCGGACAAAAGCAGAAGAATGGATTTTCACTATAAAAAAATAATGTTGAACACATTTTCCCTATATTTCAACAGTACTTAAAATAAAACTGCCCAATTAATTTTTTTTTTTTTTCAATGCTTTGCACCTACATTTTTCCGCTACCTAATGAATAATAATTGTTTAAGACTTGTTTAACTTAACCTTACTTTCACAAAATGTAGCCGTCACACATAAATGTAGTTAAAATACTTTTAAATTCAACAACAGAAAATAAGCTTCCCACGTTAGTCAAAACTCTGTGATCGCCGCATATCAGATATACAGAGTGTCCCGAAATTCATGCAAGAAAATTTGGTCACAGATTCTTAAGACAAATTTAAGGGACCTGTATTTTTTATTTTTGCCAAGTGGCCCCCTCTTTCGGAGTTACAGCCCCCTGAAGTCCGCCCCTAAGAATAATCTTTTTTTATATCTTAGAACCCTGTTGTACGAGAATCACTATATTTGGTACACATAAGATAATTTTTCGTGGGCCCCCTTGTCTTTGGAGTCAAAAAAATTTGGTCGCATATTTAAATTTCTTAAAAATGATCAGTCCACTAAAAATCCACAAGATTTATAAACTTTTTGTCCCTTCATACTTTTTTCGTAAAACGCAATGTTTTCGAGAAAAATGTCAAAATGTGATCGAATGCATATCGTGACTCGCCATTTTCCTCAAAAACATTGCGTTTTACGAAACAAATATCAAGAGACAAAAAAGTTTCTAAATTCAATGGCTTTCTACCTAATTAATAATTTTAAAAAAATCAAATTTGCGACCAAATTTTTCTGGTTCCAAAGACAAGGGGGCACACGTTAAAGTGTCTTAAGGGGGTTTCTCGTCAAAAAGCGTAGCACTGTGAGATTCCACATGTCATAAAGCCTGTGTGTATCAAATTTAGTGATTCTCGTACAACATAGTTTTGAGATATAAAAAAGACTTCTTAGGGGCAGATTTCAGGGTGCTGTAACTCCGAGAGGGGGCCAGTGGGCAAAAAGAAAAAATACGGGTCTCCTAAGTTTGTCTGAAGAATCTATGACCAAATTTTGTTGCATGAATTTCGGGACACCCTGTATAACGTCACGTGGAGATCAAATAGTGATTTCTGGTTCAATAACCAGTCCTTATGGGATTGACAGGTGTCAGGTACTGCCGTTAATAATACTATCTTATATCGTGTTTATAGTTTTCGTGTCATGTACATCCTAAAGTGCTGTAAATGCCAAGTTTGTATTAATGTATTTATTTTGATCTGCCTCGATGGTTTTATTCCTGTGGAGATTATTAACATTTTTGTATATTAATGACCTTCCGTTTTTGGATGTACAACAGACAACCAAAGCAATTTCTTTAATAAAGACATGTTTTCCATTTTCCAAATATAAAAATTTTGGTTAAAGCTCGCAGGCGTAAATATATATTTTACACCAAAAATATTTGAATTTGATTAATATACATATTGTGATATTTTAAAATATCACAGTATGTATATTAATAATTATCTCCAGACGTTGCCAAATTAAAAAAAATAGGAGCTACCGAATGATTAATAAAACCGTTGCACTAGCAAATATTTGTTATTGTCAAAATCCAAGAAAAATTTTGAATAGCTACATAAACATTACCAAATGATAATAATACTGAAAGAGGTGTAACTATTGTTTATGTTGTTGAAATCAGTTCTTATTTATTAAATTAATAAATACTTAGCAGAAACTTTAATAATGAACCATATAAATCATTCTCCACGTGACGTCATGCGCCAAGCGAACCGATTTTAATCCGCAGGAATATTATACGTTATAGTATTTGTATTATTATAATTTATATGTTATTATACAACTTATTTACTGTTATTGGATATGTCTTACACTGCTAAACATCAACAAATTTATAAAATCGAAGACTGAAAACGTAAAATTTAATTAAAAACTTGTGATAATGATTTCTGAGATTAAACCAGGGTATGGCTTCAGTAATCATATAATAGTGTTTCAATTATTTCACATCGATTTAAAAAATAAAAAATGTTCTTTCAGACATTTTCAAAATAATTAAAGAAGTATATTTAGTTAAAACTAGTTAAAACTGAATACAAGTAGGTATTTTAAAATAAGGTATTTTTTTAAAATACATGTGTGTGTTTCAGACTTCAACTTTAAAATGAATAAACTCGTCGTAAACTTTAATTATTGCTTTAGCTCTATGTTCAGCATAGAAAAGTATTGGAAGCTATTGATCACTTCACATATCGAAATAATCAGAGATCTAGCCGCCACTGACTCAGAGTGGATCAAAAATATAGCGTCAGTAAATGTATTGTAAAAGTTCACGTGCACTTTTTCTTAAAAAGTGACCCATTCCCATTTCACGATGGGCAATGCTGGCCGATTGGGCGCAATGACCATCGTGTAGCACCGTTACGTAATCATAATCGTGTAGAGTGTAGGTAGAGAGTCCACTGGCCTTGCCTGGCCGTAACTAAATGACGCTGGCGAATATTGACTTGCAATCAGGCTAGGTATCCGTTTTTATTTTAAACCTTTTTCGCAATTTTTTAAAGTTTTTTTGTCAATGTACATTTAAATAAGTGTTGTATGTACTTATTGTTTTCATGATTCATGCATAAATGAATAAAAATCAATAGAAAAATACTGACATTAATATCAGCCAATTGTGTAGTTGATAGCAATGGCCTGTGATGGTCTCTGGCTGGTCTCCGTTCGCCAATACATCGTGATCGTGAAGAGGGGCCGTAATAATGGTTGTGATTGGGTTATGATGGTAATGTGTTAATTTATATGAAAGAAGTGTTTCTGTAATTATTAAATATGGATCAATTAATTAGTGGTATTTTGCTATCAATCACACGTGGGCTGATATTTGACACTTCATTAATGTCATATTTTCCTATATTTTATTTAAGCACGGTACCGTAAAGTAAAGTGATTGCAGCGACTGTCTTTTACCTGATAACGAGTCGCGCGCAGCGCGGTCCGAGAGAAAGGTCAAGTCCGCGCAGCGGACTTGCCTACCTTTCTAGTAACTACTTAAACAACTTTAATTTGCACACCCCCAAAAAACTAAAAAAAAATGGTGAGAAGTTATAAAATAAAACATTGGTCCATGGCCCACTCTATATCCAAAAAAACACCGACATCGGGCCGATCGCGAGCCGAGCAGAGTGGACCAGTGTTGCGGCCAGACAAGGACATTGTGAAGAGGAGCCTTCGTTCTTTTTTTTCCTTATGAAAAATAAAAATATTTCCCTTCTTGTCCACTATAAAACGTGAACATACTGCATTTACTTGAAATATTTTATTATTAAGGGCGTATTCAACTTCTATATTTGGTTTAATACCTATTATTTTGCCATCAAACAAAAAAACTGTTTAGTGTAACTCAATATTAAATCAAAAAACGTTTTATTCTATTTCTACTTAATATTTCTATGTTGTTACAATTAATAATCAATTAATCAATATTAATAATATTCTTAATACTGATAATACTCCTGTAAATACATGAACAGTAACAACTTACAAAAAGTAGGGAAGCCAAAACCAGACTTAAGAACTTTTGACAAATATGCCAGGATCGTATTACAAATTTTGTATCTTGTTTCAATGTTAATAATATAATTTTATTCCAAACACACAGTGACTTATGCTATTAATAATAAGAAAATACCTATTTTAGTTAGAAAAGAAAAAAGAAGTGCCTATTATATGTTCTCAAGTGTTTCATTTAATAAAGTACATAAGTTTTATTTAATAGGTAGGTAGTGCACCGAATGTTGAAAATTATTGTCCAAAACGTGTACAAGAGATCTTGGGTTACCTACTATTTTCCCGCTCTGTGTACGCCACTGAATACTGTACATTATAAAACAAAATGTGATGCCACATTTTGTAAGAATAGTTCATTTCTATACATAGTAGGTAATAAATGAAGCATAATTGAAGGCTACAAGTATTGATCAATATTTAAAAATAATTGGATCTAAACTTAATTTGAAAAAATTAAAAATAAATATCGCTTTAAAAATAAAAAAAAACATTCTGTGAACTAATTTAGAACAGACTCAAGATGCGCATTGAACTTGACATTGAAAGTATTGGCAATTAATTCATTACTATTTTTAACTTTTGCGATTAAAACTAAAAAGGAAATAAATTAGAAACGAATATAAAACTGTAAAATTCCAAATGTCGCTCAAATTTCAAAACGTGCTCCCTCTTGTGGTAAATAGGTTACGTTCCGACGTCCAAAGACACAATTTTAAGATTTCTACTAAAACCCATTTTACGCCATTTCGCTGTCGGCAACATGGCGACAATTTTTAATAATTGTATTACATACTGTATCAATATAATTTATGTCGCTGTCTTAAGTACTGTAACATTTAAAAATAAAAAGTTAAAAACGCATATATAAAGTTCTCCTGATAGTTTAATGAATAACGTAAACTATTTCCATAAAAATCAATTATTCATTCATAAACCTTACATAACAGTTGAAAATCTATAGTAGACTAGCCATTCTTATGTTAACATTAAAAAAATATATTGCCCTTATTGCAGCAGACTTTATTTAATTTAGGGCAAGAATTTCAAAAGAAAAAGTTAATATGAGGGTATTTTAGTCCCGGCTTATATTTAATCAATTTGCATAATGTATATTTGAAAATAATTATCGTCTCTTACCTAAATATGGTAGATGTGACCGGTCTTATTCGTTACGTAAAATTAGTATATAATTATTTATAAAACTACCCTTTTTCTTAAGGTCTTGAAACGGCACAACACGAAGATTACAGAAGAATCGTTCACCTCACCGGCTCAGTGAAATATTTGGAGAATGAGGATTGGGTATCGTGACTATCGTGGTATCGTTCTACGTTTTAGCACGAGAAAGATAGATGTATTTTTAATTCTATTTCTAATGTTGCCACGTTTACAATGTAGGCCAAAGTTACTGAATTCTAAATGAATATCCTAAATTAAAATATAAAATATGGATAAAACTATTTTTAAAATTGAACTGAATTCATGCCCTTATTTCTATAGATTCCAAACATCAACTTTTCTAACTTGGCAACGTGTGTTCCATTTGAGGCGTTTCACGTTCTTTACCTCGATCAATAAGATCTTTTTAATTGAAAAAAAAAAATAGTTTTCTGAATAAGAATATCTATAGGTATCTGCCTCATACAAGTACACACCCATCTATGACAAAAACAAATACATATATATTTAATATTAAGGTTGAAAGATAAATATGAATAAAGACCATTTTATAAACACACCTACCTATTAAATATGTATTTTTAAATAAATATACACAACTTCATAATTTTTTTTCATAAATTAATTTTTACTTACTATTATCTCAGGGGGCGGTGGAGGTTCTTCTGCCTTTTTCAAAAATCCAAACGCCCCATTTTTTTTGCCACAATCTATGTGCCTGACTTCTGTTTTTGGAGTATCATTTTTTATGTTAGTTTCTACACTCCTCGCATAGCTGTAATGTTTTTCTTCTATGTTTGGTTTACAAGGGTTTTCCATGATTTGGAATATTTCACGGATTATTTAATAATTTGACAATCCATTTCTCTAAAATAAATTTGAAACTGTCACTTCTTATTCAATTGTTCAAATAAATCGGCAGTTTTATAATTTCTTCAATTTTTACGTAATTTTCCTTTTAATTTTGAAAATTTAATAATGTAAGATCAAAGGATAAAATATGTTTAAGATAAAAGCATGTAAAATGACTTCAAATTTTAAAAATTCGCGGTTAAATAGAAAATTGGAACTTTTGTTTAAATTGGTAGCCATGTAGCGCTTATATGGTCACGTGATCTGTCAAATTTGACTATGATGTTTTGAATAGTTCTTCTTTTTATAGAAAACTTTTTGGTTTTCGCGTTAAAATGTCCTTTTCTGAGAAAGGTAAGGTGAATTCCATTATCTGTTAATTGAATGATTAGTTTTGAACGTAGCTTGAGTGATAAATAAATGTTTTATATACTTTTAAAAAAAGGCGTCCTTCATTGATATGGCCAAGCAAATTTTTAAATATTGGTAAATAATTAGTAGCATAATGAAACATGTTTACAAATTCAATTTAAGTCGTAAGTGGAATACATATTCCAATTATATATTTTTAAATTACATATTTTTCTAAAACCACATTATACCTTTTTGAGACAATATGGTTTTTAGGATCTACTGAAGAGGCAGAAGCATTAGTAGACAGTCTTACTATGGAAAATGCTTCTTTAAGTGAAGGAAATTTAACTGGATTAAGTAGCACCGACTTTCAAACATTAACAGAACTGTCACAAGAATTAACATTAAATGCTGAAATGGAAACTGAAGGTATATTAAATAATGAACTATAGGTATAGTTTAAAGAAGACAGTTCAGTTATTAGGTATAAAATAAATACATATTTTTTAGAGATAAATGTTAAATAAATTAACAGCAATTATAATTTTGTAGACGTTTTTAGAGAAATTGCAGAATCTCAAAGTATAATAAATACATACTTTTTAAATGGTACTTGTTGAGCCTTAAACAATTATAAATGTCAACATTCAATTACATTTAATGAGAATGATAATAATAGGTGATATAAACATGCCTATAAAACTAAATATTTTGTCAACAAAACATTAAGTTTGCTGACTAAATGTTGATTGAAATATTTTTCTAATTATTATAAATTGTTACATCACCTTTAGTTAGTCTAAAATAGTGCTGCTTTGTGCATTAGCATATTTAGCCAATTTTCGTATTCAGTTCTGCAATGAACATAGAATCCTTTTCATTTGGAGCCACAATATTTCAATGACATTCAGTTCTAGACTACTGGGAGGCAATGGAAAAACATTTATATTGTGATTATGTATTCACCAATTCAATTTTTAGTTATTTTAATCGATTCAAATCTTCCTGTTGAATAATATTTTTATCCGTTTTGTATATAAACTTTCAAATCATAAATCTTTTAAGAAATTTTATTGTATTTTTAATATAGAGGAACTACAATTAGAGAAAGAATTTTTATTAATTGATTTTTCATAAGTTGAAATTTTATACAAAGGTAGGAATGGTTTAATGATTGATGGTGAACGCAACTGTATAACTAAATATGTGTAAATCGTAAATAGCGAGTCGCCTCCGAATTTCCGTACTTGGCTCCGTTTCGGAGGCTACTGATGCCATTCAACGTATATATACAAAGGTTAGCGTTTAATTTAGCTTAATTAACTTGTATATACAGAAAACAAAATAAACAAATTTAGTTTGTTAGTCAGTATATAATGTACATAGTCTACTAAGAGAAAAATAAAAAATATTTCCAGAATCGAATTGCTGTCTGAAAAACTACATAGACTTGTGTCGATGCCACTAAAAAAATATTACTCCTGCTGTGTGTCAGATTCTGACTCATAAATACACGTATGGTCTTAATCACTATCAGTCTTTGAAATTATACAAATAAGCATAATATGCATTTGTTCGGAATAGTAGTTCTAGTAATTGAGATACTCTGAGGTTTAGACTGATGAAGTATGAAGTGAGATGAGGCTGAACATATGGCGTAAGGAGCTCGACAAGTATCAAAGGACTTACTCAGTAGTGGGGAATATTAGCACATGTTAATAAGGTTCCGTACATGAATTATCGGTGAAACAATAGAGTCTCAAATTATCTCGGGTTTAGTGAAAAAGAAATGATGTATTTTACCATATTAACACAGTAAAATACAGTAAACAATTATTATTTTTACAAATCGTATAAAAAATATCTTCATAACTGAACTGCTTCGTATGTTGACAGTACATACTGAATACTTCGTCAATCGTAAAGTTTTATCAAAGAGTGTTGTTTAATGGTCTTGCATATCAAAAAAAATTAAAGAATATTTATTCCATTTTGTGCTGTTGCAATAAATAATTTTGTTTTAACTTCATTATGTCATAATTTCTAAACTATTAATAATTGGACACAGGTTTATAATATTGATACTATGATCATAAATATCACATTATTCCTCTCATTTCCTTATATTTATCACAATTTTTTTAATATCAAACATCTTTGTAATATGCAGAGCATGAAGTAGTTGTGGAAACTCAAGAAGTTATTGAACATGAAGAAGAAGTGGAGACTGAAGAAATAACTGCTGAAGAGGCAGAAACTGAGACTGAACAACAAAATTCACCTGATGAAATATTGCCTGATGTTAAAACTACAAAAACTGCTACTGTGCCACCGTTAAGGCCCTTGGCCATTGCTCCTAAACCTGCCAAAGTACCACTAACGGTGAAGCCCATTGGTGGGCAACAGTTACTCTTGCTACAAGGTAAACTCTATTTAAAATAATCAGTTTATTGTCTGAAACTATTTATTTGTGGCATAATTTTACTTTTTCTCTATTTATTTAGGTATTTTGTCACCTGTGAAAAATTAAAAAATTAATTCAGTCAGGACTTGCCTTAAACAGGCAAGATTTATAATATATTTTTTTGAACTTCCTGTATCTTAAAAACGAAGGCTTCGAAAGCTAATCTGTATATTTATAAAAAAATATTAAATTTTGACAAAAAATGCTCCTACAGTTTTGACACAAGATAATTTACGTTTAAAAAATTAATATTTGTGTGTTTTCAAATTTGATGTTTGTATTTAAATAGATAGAACACTTTATGGTTTATTTGTTTATGTGCATTCTCAGTAGCCAAGACAGAAATTTATTTTACTATCACTTCTTTCTATATTTCCAGCCAACAAAGAATAATTGTGTTTGTATAAAATAAAATGTGTAGTGTTTTGTTACTAAATATTATTCTACAATGAAAATTATTGCTAACTGTACAGGTACTTTTGCTAAATGATAGGCACGTGCCGGATTTTTTATATTAGTTCACATATTTAAATATAGCCTTATTTAAAATTATTAATTATAAAATCTTTTGTGAAAAATTCTACTCAAAATTGACTAAATCGTATGTTGAAATTTGGAGATGAGCATCCTGTAGAGGCGTGTCGTAGAACGAGTTGCTATTGGTGCGACGTCATCGGTAAGTAAACTGGCCGCTCCACATTAGAAAACGATGTCGATCCTATGACTTTACCTAAATATGCACTTATGTAGCAAAATAATTAAGTCTGTGTTGGTATAATATTTAATTTTTACGACGTTTAGTTCAAGCTTTCCTCGGGTAGCATAATATTTACTACCTAAATAATATTTTGAATCTAAATTTGTTATTTTAAATAATCATAATTAGTTTTTAGTTTTTTAAAAATTCTTAAGAATATTTGTAACATGACCGAACAAGGTTATGCTAAAGCCCAATCAAACAATTTACCGAATTCCATGATGATTGCGGAGTTTTTTCGAAAAACATTTTATTTTGTTCGGCAGAAATAAGGGGAATAAAAGCAAACTGGTATGAAAATGTGATTTATAGATATCTACATAAATTTATTTTAAAATACATTTTTACTGGCGTTTTTACTGATGTATTTTCACACATGGGTACAATGCACCAGTAATAGTATTAGACTAGGCGGTATCTGTTTTGGCTTGGGTAAATCGTATATCCATGGAGAATTTTGGCTTTTTGGCTTTCAAAATATATCACTAGAAATGAAAATTTTTCTATGCTCTCCTAATTGACGGATTTGAATTTTTCAAAAAGCGTTTGAAAGCTTGAGAGCCCTTCTATATGTGATTAAATTTTCAAGTATCTAAGGGCCTTGGTTTTTGCTGTGCAAAATTTTGAATTTTTCAAAATCTGGATTGCAAAATTATTATGCAAAATCTATCTAACCGATTTTGATGAAATTTGGTGTGATGATTCTACATAACAAGTTTTCTTGAGCCAAGTATGAAAGTCCCAACCCAATTTAAAGACCCTAAAAAGTAATGTTTTTTAACCCCATATTTGGCGATTTTTTCGATTTTTACAATAATAATCATGATTCATTCCATTTGTAACTAGTAATATTTTGTAAAAAATTTAATTAAAAACAGTTTTTTTCCTCTTTCATTTTCGCCTAAAATCAACTCTTGAGAAGATACATAATTAAATAGGAAGTAAAATATGACATTTTTCGAATTTTTTTTAACATATTATGCCGCCAAAAGTTAAGCCCACGTTTTTTTTTTATGCGCATAGAAAAATTTTCATTTCTAATGATATTTGAAAGCCAAAAATCTCCGTGGATATACGATTTACCCAAATATGGACTTTTTGAAATAGATGCTGTCTGGACTATTTATATGGTTTAGAGGGATTTGCCATAGTTATTATAAGTTTAACTTCACAAATTTACAGTATATGTAAGGTATCGTACTGCTTATTAACACCACTCCACACATTTAATAACCAAAGCAGTCAGCTGCACTGTCGAAACGCGTTATTGTATATGTTGCGCTTGCCATTTACTTACTGATGACGTCAACGTGTCGACATCCCAGTCCATGGCGTTTGCGCGCTAAGCGAACCGATTAAAACTTGAATATCTAATAACTTTTTAAAAATAAATTAATATAACAAAACCTTTACACATTGTTTGTAGTATTCAGTGTAGATACAAAAACTATTAAAATATTTTTTTCTGCAAGAGGCCTATTCTTATACACAAATTTTTATTTGATTTAGAAAATTTTTATTCGCTTCATTTGCCATTGCCATTAAACTTGTGACTTGCTAGACTGTGGACATGTTATTAAAGAAACCTGTAACCATCAAGGTTAAACAAATAATTAAGACTTGCCTGAATATCAAAGTTAATTTTCTAATGCAAACAATCCCGCACAAAACATAAGGAAATTGAACACTGGTCAATTTTTATGAAACTTCGTATTTTGATAGTCCTCGTCATGCTGATCAAATGAGCACGAAACCTTACAATTCCTTCCAACCCCCCAAAACCACCTCCCAAAGATCAGGGTAATGAACTTGACAGATTACAGGTTTATTGGCTTACCATAATATTTCATTACTGTAGTCGAACCTACAGACACCTATACCATAACTAGGCTTAAAACTCAATGGGCACCGAGCCCTGGGGGTGGGTGGTTCAATTGTCGGGGGTCGGCTTCGGAGAGTATAGTGATCTGTGTGATGGAATTCACGATTAAACAGTTACACAACCAGTAAGCAGGGAAAAGTCACATGACTGGCTTTGGTAGTTGGTAGGGAAGGAGAGCGATGGACAGTTAAGTGTTTTGGAGATACAGAGAGATCGAGAATGATTGACCGGATTCTGAATGTACCCTGTCTCAATTGCTATCAAAACTGATTTCCGTTTGCTAAAATTACTTTTTTTCCGTGCGATTTCATGGTGTTCTGTGGCGATTTCACAATTTGACGTTCTGTTCATAGGCGCACGGATTTTTTGGCTTGAATATTATTTTGTAGATTTTGTTGTTACCTGATATATTTTGCGACATTATAAAACAGTATTTTTCAATACTACAGTTAGAGTAGGTGGATATTATACGTGAGTAATTAATTTATTGCGTATGTTCCCTAACCTAATCGGTTTTTTAATTTAGGTTAACATGGCATTTTCATTAGAACATGATAAATTTCTTCTGGAGGCCTATTTTCGTAGTGGACAAAACAATGGTAATGGTTGGAAATATTCGATGAATTCGTGTCATTTACAATTTCAAGAACAATTTACAAATAATGAAATTGATGATTATGAAATTTTTTCGAGACACGTGAAGAGATTAGTGGAACGCTTCCATAAGACTGGAAGTGTTTGTAGAGGAAAATCTCCAGGCAGAAAGTCTATTCTTACAGAGGAAGTCTTGGAAGATGTTGAAAACCGCTTACGAGCTAGTCCAACCAAATCACTACGTCGGTTATCTGCTCAAACAGGTAATAACAAATATTTATTCTAAAATTTGTATCATTATTCCTAAATTGTTTATAGGAATATCATATGGATCATGCCATAAAGCAGTAAAGAAGTTGCATTTTCATCCTTATAAAGTTAGTGTTGTGCAGGAACTACTTCCGTTAGATTTTGGAAAACGTGTGCAATACTGTAATTGGTTTAACGAAAATCTGAATGACGACGATATTCTAGATCTAACATTTTTTTCTGATGAAGCCTGGTTTCATTTAACTGGGTACGTGAACTCCCAAAATTATCGCTCTTGGAACACAGAAAACCCTAATATTTTGCGTGAAACAACTCTGCACCCTATTAAACTTGGAGTTTGGGTAGCTATGTCACGTAGAAGAATAATCGGACCATATTTTTTCCGTGAAAATGTAACTGGGCAGGTATATCGGCAGCAAATATTGTTACCATTTTTTGAGGAACTTCACAACGATGAAATCCATCATGGATACTTTCAGCAAGATGGCGCAACAGCTCACACCTCTAACGAAACTTTAGAGTTGATTAGAGAGTATTATGATGATCGAATAATTAGTCGAGATAGATGGCCACCACGTTCTCCTGACCTTACACCCCTAGACTATTAATTATTTGGTTTTTTAAAAAATTCAGTATTTGCTCAACGGTTACACACAATTGAAGAACTTCAAGAGGCAATTACAAACGAAATTAGGAGTATTACAGAATATATAATGTTTTACAGAATGTATTTAATAACATGAAAAGAAGAATTAATACCTGCTTGAACAACAATGAACAACAATTGAACATTTATTGTAAAAATATAGATATTTTTATGAATTTTATGTAATTTTAAGGTAAAATATTCAATAAAATGTGAAAAAATTCCAATTACTCTGTTATTACATATTGCATGTAACTGTTGTTTATTGCTCTCGGTCATACAGACAATCCTACCATCTAACATAATCGAGCACTTCCAACTGATTGCATTTGCTTGAAGCAAACGTTTTTAAGACACTTCCTGAATTTCGACAGCTAACTAAAATGTCCAGCATAAATTTTTGGGCTGGATCGCTTGCGTTGGATATTCAGAAGTGTGAAAGCAGTAACTGCAAAATAGTCGTCTTATAACCATACAGCAGTTTGCTTTGATGAAAAACAGCAGCTTGCAGCGTATCGCTGTATAGCTGAATCGTCTTAGATGCCAAGAATGTAGCCACAATAGTGCTTCTCTTTTAAAATTAACTCAAAACTTTTTAAAAATAAAATCGCTGAAGCACTTACAGTCGTTATTCAAAATTAGCTACATCAAACTTTGATTTAAACGTTTTTCGAATTGTAAATGAAATAAGAATTTTGGAAAAGTTAGGCTAAATCTACATTTGATTCTGTCATCCTCTTTAATAATAATAACAATAATAACATTTATTGGTCCATCAGTATTGCTTAATTTGTGAAATAACTTTGATTTTTGTTAAATAATTGATATTTTTATTATGAATTTCCATTTTCACAGTAACCTAACTGATTTGACGTTTGAACATAATTATTTGTTTACCATTAAAATCCCTCAACCTGCGCTCATGATTCTAGTATTGGTATCAAAAACTGGTATGCCGCACATCAAAAATCAGTATGAGGCGGCACGGTCAATCATTCTCGATCACCCTGTAGTAGTCTTAAACCTAGTTACAGTTTGGGTGGCTTATTATTATAATAAGATTTAGACACATACATAAGTAATTTACCATCCCATTTGAAACAGATGGTACAAGTTAAGTAAATCAATGACCTAAAAACTATAGGTGTCCGCATTCATAAAATCGAAATTTAAGAGCAAATAAAACAATAAAAAAATGAAATGATTAGACAGTAGTACTTACTAGGTAACAACAAAAGGTGTCAATTTTGAAGGAGAATACCTATGTACATATGTCTCATTTTATTCCGCTCACTATACATTCATCCCAAAACAAGCTTATTTGGCTTTAGATGTTAGTGATAATTATTATCATTGAATGTAAATCAACACTTCACCGATTGAACTTTCTTTCTTAAGGACAATCTGCAATATACACCAGAATATTTCGTGCAACTTCTTAGAAAACAGTATCTTAGAGATACTCATCAGGTGACTCCACTCCTGTATACTCAAGCTCATTGTAATAAATATCACATTGTAATAAATAAATATCATTAGCTGCACACATAACTGTTTCAGTTGTACCAATCATAACGTAACTATTATCACATTAAGGTCTATCAGCATAAATTAATATGTGTTGTTCATTTGACATTTCTGGTCGTATGTACCAACAGGAGTGACCTTCAATGTTCTCATCAACAATTTTACTTCAATAAATAAATTTCAGTTCTAATCTCCAATGTAGTTCTACTTCGTACTCCCAAATTAAAAATGTTCATTCAGAACACCTTAATTCTTCTTATATTAGGAATATTCCTTATCTAGGACCAAGAGTAACAAAATTCAAACTGGACTCACCGGCACCAAACAACCTGAGGGAGTTGATGTCAGAACTGACCCATTAACATTGCCTTGCCCAAGAACCCTTGACTTTCCTTTTGGGACATATATTTTTGTTTTATATATTTTTGTTACTGTACAGCATAAACTTGCTTAGTGTTTAGTGAATGCTGATTTCACTTCTTATTAAAATTATAATGAGATATCAGAACTGTATACAAGGTGTCCCAGAAATATGTGTACAACGAAAGACCATAGACAGATTTATGCTAATTCACCTATATCCGAAATCACTTCGTTTGGCCACTAGATGGCCTCAAAGTTTGTGAAAACTTTTTTAATTTTATAAATAACTTGAATATGTATTAATCGATTTTGATTGGGATGTGGATTTTTGCTTTCAGTCTACACATTTTGGTATACAGTGTTTTTTTAAAACTTACAACTCCTACAAAATTAATGTAAGATGATAATATCTGTTCATAACTTTCCTCTTTCGGGCAATAATGACAATTATTTTTTATTTGATAGGTGATACCATTTGGAAACCTTATAGAATTTTGATGAAAAGAACGGTTTGGGTACAAAAAATATTTTTTAAGTGTGTACATTATCTTGCCACCCATATTACAATACTTAAAAAAGTGCTAATAGACACTGATTTTGTAGATTGACTGTAATTTCAGTTTGATCTTTAAGTCATTGTACCTGCCAATGAGTGAGTGTTTACTACGATATGATATACCACATGTTACTTCATTTTTTGGTATGGATACATACATAGGACGAATTATAGTTATTTACGTGCCTAATTTTATTTTCATAAAATCAATCAAATACAATAAAAAATGGTGGAGATAAAAGTAACAAAGTTGATGTTATTAAATTTAGTACAACTTATTATAAAAACTTTTCAAAATGACTGCCGTTGTTTCTATAACAAAGGATAATTCAGCAAAGAAAGTTAAAGGACACCTTTTGCAGTTCTTAACAGGCTATTATTTAAAACATTTATGGCATTTTGGATATGCCTCCACAACTCTTCTTCAGTGTTAGATGTGGAAGCATGCACTGTTGTTTTCAGAGTGCCTCAAAGATAATCGGTATTAAGTCTGGTGAATGTACAGGCCAGTTAACAGGAACATCATCCTCTCTACCGATCCATCGACGAGGGAATCTTTGGTTCAGATACTGCCGGACATTTACAGTGAAATGTGGTGGAGCGCCATCCTGCATAAACTGAGTAATAACGGCACATCTTCCAATAACTCAGGTTTTGCAAAAATTCTAACTAAAATTTCCCATTCAGTCTATTGGGTAAAATAATGTGACTAATAATAATGCTATCAATGATCCCAAACCAAACATTGATGCGAAATTCATGCTGATAATGTTTCACTTTAAGAGCATGTGGATTTTCTGTGTCATTGTGAATATTTATTATTCCGCTTCTAGTAAAACATAATTGGCAGGTACAACGATTTAAATATCAAATTGAAATTACAGTCAACCTACAAAATCAGAGCCTACTAGCACTTTGTTAAGTATTGTAATATGGATGGCAAGAGAATGTATACATTTAAAAAATTATTTTTTGGACCCAAACTGCTGATTTAATCAAAATTCTACAAGAGGCCCAAAAACTTCCAAATAATATCCCCTATCAAATAAAAAAATAATATCATTATTGCCCCAAAGAGGAAAAGTTATGAACGGATATTATCACCATACATCCATTTTGTAGGAGTTGTAAGTTTAAAAAAACACTCTGTATATGAGTTAAATGTGTATTTAAAATTTTGTCACGTTTTTCTGGGCACACAGTATGGACAGACATTTTTGAGAATGAATAAATTTTCGAAACGAAAGTAAAACATATTTTTTTATCTGTTTTTTCAGTATGAGATTTTTGGTTATACAAAAATAATTTAAAAAAAAACAATCCTTGATTGATATTTTTTTTAACGCAATCAATTTAATTATTTTTAAAATTTTTCGCATGTGTTAAAAAAAACAAAAAAAAAATTATTAATATAAATTTAATTTCAATGAAAATTATTTAGGAGGAGGTTCAGGGCAAGCCATAAAATTAGTCTCTCCACAAGGGCAAGAATTGGCTAATTTCCAGATAAGTAGACCTGTCACTCTTAAACCAACAATTAAGCCATTAACATCCCAAGGTGGAAATATATCTATAGTACAGCAGAAGCCTGTAGTAATGAAAAAAATTCTTGCACCTGGACAAAAAACCATATCGAAACCAATAACATTCTCTAAACAAGGGCAACATTTTATGGTTGTCCAAAAAACAGATCAGCAGCAGTTAAAGCTACTTCAAACCCAGGGTGGTAGCATAACAGTTCCAAGTCCTACGAAAACAATTACCTTACAGCAAGCTCAAGAAATGGGTTTATTAAGTAATGCAAAGATTGTGCCCCAAGGGCAATCTACCAAGCAAACTGTATTGCTGAGTAAGAATTCACAGAAAACAATAAAAATTGTACCCCAGGTTACTCCGGCGCAAATCGTTACTAGTGTGGCAAATACAAAAACGATATCTTTAAATGCTATTAAATCGCCTACCAAAATTCTACCTGCGGCCAGCAGCACCATGACTAAAGGACCACAAAGGATTATTTTTAAAACTGGATCAAATCAAACTATTTTACCATCTGGACAATTAATACAAGTCTCCGGATCCCAAGCCTTAAACAGTGGACAACTACATCAGATAAATATACCAGGAAAAGGAGTAAGTAGATTAATATTTATTAAAATATTTTTTTTTTCAAAGTGGCAATTTTGTCTTGAGTGAATAAAAAATATATTCTATACGTGAATTGCATACCTACAATAGAAAGTAGCTTGAGGCGGTGTTAATGGTAATAAAATACAGAGGGTGTCTCATAAATAATGACGGTTTTCAATCATGTGGCACTATCCAACAACTTTTATAGATCTCACTTAATAATTTTAAGTGGCGATGTATTGTTTAGAAGGTCCAAGGGAGTTTGATAATCGACGAGTGCTGGTACTGGCTTGGTTTTTTACTGCTTCCTTTGTAGGCTTAATATCCCACATAGGTGGACGACCAGAGCTCGATCGATCTTCAAGCGTCAAATGTTGAAAGGATTAAACCAACATTATGCTGTTCGCTCATTAACCATTCTCCCTCTTCAATTTCACATATCTTTCTTGCTGCCGCGGCTGCTTTGAATTTTTTGTTTCCAATAATGTCTTAACAGTACACGAATTTCATATTTATTGCAGTCCATACTTTTTAATTTTTATTTTTAAAACGTCTTAGGCCATCAATAAACGAAGACAGTGTGATTAAAATAAAGTAAAACAATTAATTATATCACCTCGGTAGCGTAGTCAGTCGAGCATGTAGTGGCAAGCATTTCTCAGCCAGACTCCCTATTCTGGTCCGGATTCGATCCCTGGCGTCGACACTGGCAATGTTGATGGATAATGTTTGTTTGTCTGTGTTTTTTCAAGTGTAACCCCCTCCGCACAGCATTTGGCTTTGAATTTGGGGTTGTCTCATTTCTGTGGTGTGTTTTAATTAATTGCACTCTTCATAGAACTAGAGAATTGTATTAACAAGTTACGACATTTATAAAATGAGGCGTAGTAAATTTTTAGTTATGAAACTCAACATTACTTATGAGACACCCTCTGTTCTTACTGTTGCAAAGTTCAATAATAGACAGGAAATTTATATATTACTTTATTAAGAACGGTATAATTGACTACCATATGCATTTTACCTCCTTTCTTATCTACTAACACAACAATACTTGCATAAGGAGGCATGATTTTCTAAGTAATAATTATGTTCAACAAGAAATATTTTTATTGTAAGATAAAACCTCTTGAAAAATTGTTCTCCAGAGTCTCAATCAACACGGATTCACTGTATAAATTAATGTAATGAAGCATTAGCTGCTTAATTAGACTTATTGATACTAGAATTTTGTCATGTCAAACAATTAACTTAGAGAACAGAGTTAGAACTTTCTTTCTTTAATCCTATTTGTCACTCACATTTTAACACACATAAATGTTTAACTTGGAGTATTTAGCAGGCCTGATTGGGGTTAAATGGACCCCGAATTTGTATCCAGCGACCCCAAAACCATATAGACATGTAGATTTACTTTGTTGACATATTTGACTTTGAACTGGCCTTAACTCAGACCTGATCGGGTCAAACGGACACCGGATTCTGATCCAGCGACCCCAAAAACACATAGATATGCAGATTTACTTTGTTGACAGTTGATTCTCTACATTTGACCTTGAACAGACCTCGACACAGTCGTGATTGAGTCAAACAGACACCAAATTCGCATTCATGACCCCAAAACCGTTTTGATATGTAGATTTACTTTGTTACCAGTTGATTCTCTACATTTGACCTTGAACTGACTAATTCAGACCCGATCGGGTCAAATGGCCACCAGATTCGTATTCAGTTATGCCAAAATTCTGTAGATTTTTATTTTACTTTGTTGGCCGTTAACCTTAACCCAGATCCGATCAAGTCAAACAGACATCGAATTCAGATTCAGCGACCCCAAAAACATGTAGATACCATGGTCTTGTTTTTCGGATCTCCCACTTTTTTTGTGGAGCTGTGTTATTAAACTATTTCCTACTGCTACTACTGAAACCTTAATGCAGTTTTTCTATATATTTAAATATATTTTGTGTTAATGTTTTAACATAATATCCTGTATATGAAAATAATACAATTTTGAACATTTATAATATCACAGAAGTACAGAATATGTAACATTTTTTCAATAATCTACAAATAAAAGAGTAACAAAACACTTAACTGAGCAGCTAAGAGTATTGCCATAAAACGAACTACTTTAGGACAAATTTTATTACATACATATTTTCTACAATTTCCTTCCAAAATGTGATTATACTTCATTTTTGACTAAACCCCATATTTAAGCATTTCTTGAGTTCTCAAACAACTTTGTCAAATACAATTTTTAATAAAACAAAAATTAAAGGCACTTTGTTTTGAGAAAATTTCACATTTTCAAATTTTTTGGACCCCTATGTATATTTGATTAATACCCATGGTTTCCCCAAGCAAAAATTTTTATCGAGAATAACTTTTAATAAATCTTGCATGCAGAAGCGGAGATGCAGTGAACAATCTAGGGTTTTTTAACTGAGAAAAAATTTCTCGTGCCATATTTGCAACAGTGATGCATTTTTCTGAAAGAGTATCTCAAATAACACAAAAAATGTTTACTGTTCGATTCTGATAATGTGCATGTTTGAGAAAATTAATTTCTATATTTTTCATACACTAAAGGGACACTTCGAAAATTAAAAGTGATGTGAATTACGTTCAAGTTTTGATAACGCATTTACTACTTGAAATAAGAAAAATTTTTATTAAAACTGTTATTATTTTAATTTAAGAGCAATCCTTTTAATTTTCCTGAGTATTAGCTGTTTTACATTGGCAATTTATTGATCAATTAATTCATGATGGGCAGGAATAATTCACTACACTCTGATTGGACCTATTGAAATTCCACAACGTCTCAATTCAAATCTTTATTTAAACTTACTTCAAGAAAATCTTCCCCAAATTCTCGATGATCTGCCTCTAAATTTACTACGTAACATGTTTTTTCAACACGATGGAGCCCCGGCACATAGCNACTCACATTTTAACACACATAAATGTTTAACTTGGAGTATTTAGCAGGCCTGATCGGGGTTAAATGGACCCCGAATTTGTATCCAGCGACCCCAAAACCATATACCGGGTGACCACGAGATTACTACCTAGGCTCTAGCTTAGGCACGAAAAAAGATATCGATTTCAAATTTTGGGCATGCGTATCATTGAATTTGATGCAAAATTTAATCATAAAAACAACTGACCGTCACTTCCTGTTTGACCGGAAATGCCCTAAACTTTGTTTTTTCATATGGAACACCCTGTATATTATTTTTGTCTTCAATTCTGCTGAAGAAACTAACACTAAAATATGTATAATGTCCTTATACCTATCTTTGACAGTTTCCGAGAAAATCGCGCTTTAAAATGTCAAATGGGTCATTTATAAAATCCTTTTGAAAGAAAACAAACGAAGAAAGAGACAAAGTCATATGATATCTTTAACTTATTTTAGAAGTACTAAAGTCTGATATTGTAAAAATGCCGCACTTCCGACACATTCCGGAAAATACCGGAAGTCACCTTTAATAGCAAGTAACTGCAATAATTTTAATGGAATGCCCTACAACTAATTGAGAATTCATATTCTACAAACAATTTCGAATCATTTTTATGTGCACATCCCTATATCCAAAGTTAGGAGTTTTTGAGATATTAAATGTTTAATGTTAAAATGTCATTTGAATGATGCATAAATGGAAAAGGATATAATCAGTCAATGCATAAATCAGAGGTGCCTAGGAATCTTAATTTTAATATTGTTGCTATGACAGACATTTGTTTTTAGACGCTATATTTTCATAATTACTTAATTTAACATTTTGTTGTTTCATTTCACGTTTAGTGGTGGTGCTTATTACTTCTTTTTTATTTAAAATGCCAGTTTTTACTCGCGAAGATCAAATCGACATATTACTAGTGTATGGAGAAGCGAGAAAGCTTTAGTATATCTAAAATAAGTTAAAGATATCATATGACTTTGTCCCTTTCATCGTTTGTTTTCTTTCAAAAGGATTTTATAAATGACACATTTGACATTTTAAAGCGCGATTTTTTCGGAAACTGTCAAAGATAGGTATAGGACATAATACATATTTTAGTGTTATTTTCTTCAGCAGAATTGAAAACAAAAATAATATTCAGGGTGTTCCATATGAAATAACAAAGTTTAGGGCATTTCCGGTCAAACAGGATGTGACGGTCAGTTGTTTTTATGATTAAATTTTGCATCAAATTCAATGATACGCATGCCCAAAATTTAAAATCGATATCATTTTTCGTGCCTAACCTAGACCCTGGGTAGTAATCTCGTGGTCACCCGATAGACATGTAGATTTACTATGTTGACATATTTGACCTTGAACTGGCCTTAACTCAGACCTGATCGGGTCAAACGGACACCGGATTCTGATCCAGCGACCCCAAAAACACATAGATATGCAGATTTACTTTGTTCACAGTTGATTCTTTACATTTGACCTTGAACAGACCTTGACCCAGACCTGATTGAGTCAAACGGTTATTATTTTAATTGGTACTAAATTTAAGAGCAATCCTTTTAATTTTCCTGAGTATTAGCTGTTTTACATTGGCAATTTATTGATCAATTAATTCATGAAGTCGCTTCATCAAGAAATTGAACAAGTGTAATGCACCAAATCTGCTGTCAAATAACTTCTTGAATTTATTCATCAAGTTCTTGATGAATTAGAGCATGTTCTAATTTTCGTCAATTTCTTCGTGAAGTTCAGAAGTACCAACCCAACGGATTTCCAGCCTCATATCAGTAATGAGGTTATGTTATTGGAATATGTAAATAATTGTGTGGCGTCGTACTAGTTTTGCATTGTTTTTACTGATTTGTTACTTACAAACACTAATATTTATATAATATGTGTCAGAACGGTACCGCTGTTGTATCACTACAATTATGAGTGGAAAGGTGACATTTTTGAAATTTATTTGCTTCTTTGATTCATTGGTAGAACTGATTCATACGTCAAAAAACTTGACAAAGTCTGTAGCAATACATTCGTGAATTAATTCATGAAGAGCTTCGTCAATTTATTCATGAATAAATTGTCAATGTAAAACAGCTACATGAAAATATATAATGTGAATTTCTTCAAAAACGGCGCAAATTATCAGAATTGAGCAAGATACTTTTTTTTTGTCACTGGATATTCTCTTTCAGAAAAATACATTATTTTTCCAAAAGCACCATTTTCAAAATTAAAAAAAAACTTTCGATTACCCTATTCAACTTCACTACTGAGATTAGCTGATAGTCTACAAACAAAAACCTACATCGAGTTTTCTTTGAATCTCATAATTTATATTGAAATCATTCAAGAAAACATATTTTTGGCACACTTTAATTTGCCATGTTATCTTTTTAACTAAACATTAAGAAATTGTCCAACAGAAGCTTTTCCTTAAAATGACTTCCGTTTCAATTAGTTACATATTTTGGAATCGGCCTATATAGAACAGTTATTTAAATACTTCTTTTTTTTTTGTTAGACTAAACCTTTTTTAAATACAACTTGTTTTACCTTTTGAAATATAAAATCATATCTCCTATTTCAGAAACAACCCATTTTTGTATGAATTTCTGAGCGCAGGTTGTCTCTACTCAGAATTGGAAATAGACTTAACAAATAAAAAATATGATGAAATGTTACACTACTATGTATTATCAAATATGTGTTATAAAAAATTCTTGTAACTTAAACTGCATGTTGTATCTTAATTTTACTGATACAACTAACCTAAATATTAATGTTCTTTCATAATTTTCACAATGTTTATAATAATATTCACAATAATTTTCACAATGTTTATTTATTTTCCTACTGGTAATAATTTATCACATTTTTACTAAAAAATATTTTTTGTCAAATAATTCTGTAAATTTTAAACAACTTGAAAACCGTACATGTGTAATATAAAAATGAATGTTATTTTAGATGCAGTATATTAAATTTGTTACGGCAAGTACTACTGAAACAGCTTCATCGACTGCTTCAGGAACAACAGTTAAGACAGTATCGACAGCTGCTACAGCAAATATCATAGAGCTTAAAGTAAGTTACCTATATTTAATAGATTAACATTAAATAGTTATTGTTACTAAATATTTATAAGTATATTAACATAATATGAACAACTAATTTTACAAAGTACTAACTATTGTTAAAAGTGTTTATTTATTTTATTCTTTGTTATTGTGTTTTCTTCTTGTCACTGATTTTTTTGTTGTTCTTGTTATGTCTTTAAATTTAAAACAAATAAACTGGTGTGGTTTAATTTAACTATGTATATAAATTAATAATGATGTAAATCAAAAAGTCAAAAAACAAAGTGCCAGGAAAAGATGGTACTACATTTTAATTCAAGTAAACATTCGCTATTATAGCTTGTGCAGTCTATATGCTAAATACTGAAATTCCAATAAATATTTCTAATTGCAAGTGTTACTACTGAGTAATAAATGTACAATTAAAAAAGAAATTAGCTTTGAAATTGGTCTCATTTTTTTGCAATGCGTTAATTTTATGCGAAGTGCATCTTTTTAAGTTGAGGTACGATTGTTTTTCCTATTGCATATTCATGTTCTATAAAGATTTTTTACATATATTGTGGCCTACTAAAAACCAGGATTCTGTTTTTTATGAACGACAAGTGGAGGTCTGTTTTTTATGGGTAGAATATTGATCTAAAATTATTATTATTTTTTAATTATTTCAAGATTTTAAAAACAATTGTGTTATTATTATCATGTCAATGAACATTTAGGATATTTTAAGAGCAGATACTCTTAAAAAGTTATAAAATTCTAAACAAAATATAGTATGCTTTTATTCTTTTTTCTTATTGAGAATTGATAATACGATTTAATCACACAAAAAAGCCTAATTTCTGTAAATGTTATTTATTATCTTTTATCCACAACCAAATGATCAACAATACACCCACCTGCACAGTTTAAATTTAAGTAGAATTTTATCTTCATCCGAATCCTTACGAAAGGCAAAGGAGACCAGTTTCTGCTGTGTAGGCATATTATGATGACAAAATTTGAGGAAACAAACTTATGATGTTGTGTTTCTAATGGTCAAAGGTAGCCTCCGTATAAATATCTAACTAGGTAAGGTTGCTACTATGCCCCATGTTTATCTATATTTTGATTTTAATTTTTTTTTATTCTATAGGCTTAATGTGTTTTTATATATTGTTTAAATGTTTTTAAATTATGTTCTTCATCTATATTATTGTCTCTTTATTATTTATAGCCCTGAGGAAGATATTAAATAAAATCAAAACGTTGGCCTATTCAGAAAATCAAGACCCTGATTTCCTTGTCCTATTCCAACTTTATTTATTCTTATTACACTATTTGAAGGGCACGAAAATTATTTCACTGACACAGGGTATTTAAAAATAAGTTACTACTATTGCTAATCATCTAATTTACAGTATAGTAATTATGTGACGATTAAAATGCTGTAAATAAAAAAAAACATTCATAAATGTTTACAGGCTACCTGACACCCGAGCTTAGACAACCCAACATTTCATGACTGGTAGTGGTAGCGTCACCAATATTAATGATTGCGATCATTGATTGGTTGAATAGAATCTCATAAAAAATTACACCAATCACAACCTGTGAAAAAGAATGTGTTTTAATGTAATCTTGATCTTATTGTTTTAATAATTTTTAATTTTACCGAAATTTAATTGCCAACATGAAGGAAATAAATTATTGTTCCAAACAAAATTACCGGTCACGTGGCTTGTAATCATTTATGAAGGCTCTGTAGTATGGTGTGCCTTCGTGCAAGTGGTGACGTTACTAATAAGACTGACAAAATCAGGGCATAATTGGGATGGAAATATTGTCTTTTTTGTAATCTTATCTGCAGTCTAAAGCCTAAATCCAATTCATACCATCTGCAGATATTGCAAATTACATTTTTAACATTGTACGTTTCACAATCAACTTAAATTGTGTGTTTTTAAATAATATATAGCTACTATTTCTGTCAAACTGAAAGTCTGCAAGTCGTTATTGACGTCATGTGCCAATAAGGCACACCACCAAAGAATTTCATGTTTATCATTGATTTAAAAAATATATCAAATACAGGTAAAAACCATTTTTCTTTAAATTACATGTTGTACAAATTTTTTTAGCCTGTATCTACAATAAGCAAAATTGCACCAAAACCCTTGAAACCAACAATAGCTACCAATAAAATTAATGTAACGGGAACTCAAATGGTTGTTGTACCAACCAATTATAGTATTCCATCCCACCAACCTCAAGTTTCCAAAGTGGCGATACCTCCGAATACGGTAAGGCACACTCCAGCGTTAAAACCACCGGCTAGCGGCAGCGAAACTTCATCTCCCGTAACTCCAAAAGAAGAAGTTGACGCTAACGGCATGCGACCGAGGAAACCGTGCAACTGCACCAAATCACAGTGTTTGAAGTTGTATTGCGACTGCTTTGCAAATGGAGAATTTTGTTATATGTGTAATTGTATGAACTGCTTCAATAACTTAGACAATGAGGATCATCGGAACAGAGCCATCAAGGCATGTTTGGAAAGAAATCCGAATGCTTTTAGACCAAAAATTGGGAAAGCAAAAGACATTACGGGAGATATGTCAATAAGAAAACATACCAAAGGTTGTAACTGCAAAAGGTCTGGATGTTTGAAAAATTACTGTGAATGTTATGAGGTATGTGAATAAAGTTTTTTATTAAAAAATATTATATGACGAACTATGATTCTATCTAGTTTTGAATAGCAAAACAAACACATTTTTTACTTTAACGCCAGCTTAACTTACCTAAAATTTGAAGGCATCTGAGAGTGCCGAAGATACATTTTTATTTTTAATTTTCTCAAATTGCTTCTGAGGGACTTTAAAAAATGTCATGAAATTTGTTGACTGGGGGTATATCAAAACCAGAAATTCAAGTGTGCCTATTTTCACGTCTACGATTGTCTAATGATTCTATAATTTTATAAAGGGCACCTCTTTTGATACTATATGAATTAAATGCGCTATCCCATTTCCAAAATATACAGTGGTAATGAAATTCTGAAGTTACCCGGTTGAGAGATTTAAATAACAGATTAGTGAATTTTTGCCTTTAAGGAGGATGTTTTTAGCGTAATTTTCAGTGAATTTATAGTAATCTGTTGAAGAGAGTTTTAGAAAATCTTAGCAAGTTAGAAACAATATCTCTTCACTGTAGTAGTTATATAAGTTTTCTCCAAGGCAATCTACAAGTCAAAAATATATTCAGAATAAGGAAAAAAAAACATTTTTATGTTTATCATTTCCAGGGCCGTCTTTACCCAGGGATGCAAGGGGTGTGTGGCACCCGGGCGCAAGCCGATCTCCTTATACCTTCAACAAACATTCATTACACTGCTAAAAGCTCATTGGAGATCTCTTATTTTTTTTCTATTGTTCAGGAAATATATGTATTTTTTCGGCATCAGCTTCACGTTGGGATGCTATTATGAACCATATACCTACTATGACATTAAAATCTCTTTCAAATACGCAATGGGAAAGTAAAGTTGTTGCTCTAAAAGCTTTTCCCTTCAATATGGATAAAATTTACGATGCATTATACTCTATTTTTTTCAATAACAAGTATGACAGTGAAATAAGAAGCAGTTCATTAATATCAGAACTAAAAACTTATAGGTTCTTATGGTAACATTTTATTAAAATTGCAAAAGTCAGACGTTATTCTTTCGAAAGGCGTGAAAATGATCGATCTGGTCAAAAAAGGCGTATACCTCACAGACAGTGTAACAATTACTACTTGATTCAAAATTAATTGCTGAAGATTTAGAATGTGAACCTGAATTCACCGAAACTGCTTGTCCACGTCCCCAAAAAAGATATTTTAATTACGAGGCTGCAGGACTACTTGACAGGACAATCTTATAGTTAAATGAACTATTTGATCTATTAACAGAACATGACACGTTTTCATTTTTGCAAAACATTAACAAAAAAACGCAATGTCAACCTAGAGCAAAAAATGTACATGTGAAAATAGATTCGATATTGATGGGGAAGATCTATTTAATAAATTAGAATTGCTGTCTTTATTTTTTATAAATAAAGATACAACTCCAATTATATTAAATTATATTTATCCCAATAATAAAAAAAAGAATCGAAAGTAGATTTCAAAACAGACAATATCATTAAAAAGCCAACTTAAAAACCAGAAAAATTAAATTCGATGTTTGAATATACCTAACTTTATTGTACAGTAATAGTCCACAGTACAGGCCCCCCCTGGAAAGTTGATTACCACATACTTTATAACTCGTGAGGAGCTTCGTTTTGACGAGTCTACCACACTTTTCCTCTGCGACTTTTCTCGATTCCTCCACTTTTCCACTCGGAAAAATCCAAAAACATGGCAATTTCCCGGGGTCTTGAAAAGTCAAGACCACATCTTTTTGTTTTAGCTTAAGTTACTGGAAATTTTTTTGCAAATGCTGATTTAAATTTGTTCGACAGAAATTCTTCCAATATTGACGTGTCTACCGGCCGAAACATGCCAAAATGACAGGGTATTGAGAATCAATTACCACATAGGTAATTTTTAGTAAAATTAATTGTAAATAATTAATTCAGTCAAAGACTATCGTTGTCCGACAAATTTCAAGCCACATTTTTTCAGTCCAACAGCTGGAAATCGGAATTTTCACGGGGTATAATAAATCGATTACTACATATCTAATTTTCATTTTTTCTACTTTTAAATTTACTGTACAAAATTAGTAATATAAGTGTCCGACGATTTAATATCCGCAAATTATTAAAAAAATCAATAAATCAATAATCGTGATGAAATTTAATTTTTTAACTCCAGAAATTTCATATTTATAAATTATTATTTAAATTTAAAATTTAAATTATACATAAATTATTTGTTTCAAATGAATAATTATAATATTACTTATTTTATGCTTAAAAATTTTAAAATAAATACAAAATTAAACATATTCAACCTATTTTTCTCCTATAATACTTTAAAAGTTCCCGCCTCATGTTACTTTCATGAGTAGTAGTAGTGGTAGTAACTATAACAGGCACTACAAATTCTTGGTGCGTATTGACATTACAAAGCGCTTCGTTAATAAGTTAAAGGAAGATAGATTTACTAGAAAGAGCTAGGTCGTCTATCCTCAGTATTTGCACTATTCGGAACCTCCTGAAAATAAATACCTACTTAGGTTTGCTATGCGTTTTTTTTTCCTCTCATTTTAATAGCTTATAGAGTTCTTTGGAAAATTATTGAAATTTTTACAGGATTGTTGATCTTTTCAATAATCAGTCATTAAATAAATATTTACAATAAACACTTTTAAATATCAAAGCAAATTTAATGATTTTCTGAAGACGATCGGAGATAAAGTCATCGAAAAGTGCAAGAAAGTGTTTTGTGTAAAATATAAGAAACCCAGAAAAATGAAAAATGGGTTTATATAGGAGAAATAAAAATTTAGTACTTCATAAAAAATTTCCTATCGAGTTTCAAGCCTTCAAAGTAAGAAGTGACAGCAATGAAATTTGAGAAATTATAGTCATTCATATTAATGCTGGTGCAATATTCAGTATTATATACAGGGTGGTCCGAATTTTATGCAGGAAACTTCGAGGACAGATAGATCTCTTTAAAATAATAAGAGTTTGCCTTATAAACATAAGTCTGGAACGGCCTCGTTTTAGAGATACAGGGTGTTGAAGTTGTTAAAAAAAATATATTTTTTGTTTATATCTCAGGAATGTATTAACCGATCTCAATAAAATTTGGTACAAATAATGTACGATAGTAGGCCTTGCATTCCCTAAAATATGAGCTCTAAAGGTTTAACCAGTGGTGTACAACTGGACAGGGGTCACCCCCTTTTTA